GATTAGCCGCTTTTATTAACATATCGAATTGAAATAGCACACTGAGACTTTTCTGTAATATTTGTTGTATCGTCTTCTTGCACCGAATAAAATAACGCGCTTTTTTATTTCGGATTCTTTTATTTCTGTGGCGTGTTCTGAAATACAACCGGTTATATCATTTTGAATAATCTCGGACAAGCCCGAAAAAATTTTCCAATTTGCTTTAAAGCAAACGTTTAAACGTTTAAAACGTTTAAACGTTTTTTGAATTTTCATATAAAAATTTTAAATGCTACGTATAATGAATCATATGAAAGATCCCCTTAACGAAATGTGATATATCCCCTTATGAAATATCGGGAATATCCCCTTAACTTCTAAGCCTACCGAGCCTCCACAACTTCATGAGAAGGCGACCGGAAAATTCGCCTAAGCCCCACCTTAATACAATACAACTCCGACTTACGTCGCGTCGCTACCGCGCGATGAGTTAGACAGAGGCAGAAGACTGCCGTACGTCGTGCATCGACCCTGATAGTAGGCGATGCAGAAATCGCCGAACTAAGGCACTCCAACGGTCAAAATTATTTTGTTTTCTAACGCAGTGGCACAGTCAGCGTACGCCAGCGATAGTGAATATTTTAATATACAAGACCACAAATATTAAAATCCTCCTATATTTTACCTAATAATCATCCGTTTCCATGCATAACAGCGACCCTGTATATTTATGGTGCATATTATACAGAATCTTTTTTAGGGCGGCGCGGCGTAGAGAGGTTTTATTCCAAATAAAATATAGATGTATTTTTTGAAGTTGCTCATCACTATCAGGCCGTACAGTCCACTAAATAACAGAGACAAGTATCTCTGCTAAATAAAGGAAATTATTTGGATGATTTTTTATTGAGATACTGCGCATTTGGTTTTTCTTCAAATGTCAAAATTAATCGTAAATTTTATCGAAAATTAGAACAAGATATAATTGTAATTCTATAAAAATTCTAGAAATATATCTTATAATCTTTATGGAAGAATCGATCGCCTTGATTTTGGATTAGAAGAAACCATTAAGCAGTTGCCTATGTTAAAACATTTTTGTACAAACAATTTTATTTTTGACATATTAAACAAAAACTAAAAGTGATTAAATCAGGATTAAATCAAATTAGGTTTAATGTCATTTTTGTTATTTTTCCAACTCTTTCGTTACCAATTCAGTCACGTGAAATACTTAATATTGCCGTTGGTCAAAATTAGAAAAAAATATGTACAGGGTATCTCATTTTTGTTGATATCATAAGGTATCTCCGTTATTGGTGAATATAGAAGGGTGCGGTTTGCACCAACCTGTCCCACTTTTTTGTCAAACGGAAGATACTGTAAATAAAATTTTCGTAGCCTTCTTCGTTTCTGACCTACAGGGTCAGAATCAGGGCTATCGAGTAGGTGAAAACTGATTCTTGTAGAACTTTTTACGTAGAATACAGTGGCGTAGTCTGCTTTTCTACGAGAAAAATATTTTTGAAAATATGAATTAAAGTTATCATTTTCCAAATGGAACATCCTGTATACCCGTCTTGGTATGAGCTTCTCAAAAATATATAATACTCTATATTTATTTTCACTATTTACTGCAATATTTAAAAGATATCATTTTCTTATTAGTAGGCCGTGATAGATAACAAAAAAATTAAAATGGTATTTACTAAAATTAAACTTTTATTTGGGACTGAAATATTTTGCTTCTAAACTGTTACAATTGAATTTTTGAATATGTAACTTCTTCTTTTGGAATCGTCAGCAAAAAAAATCGGAACGGGTTTGCAAATATCTAACAGCTTGCTGATAGCATTTTCCAGGTCTTCGACATAGTAGTAATTGCCACGTAGGTACCTCAGGACTTTTACTACGCGATTATAGTGAATATATTTAAGAATAAAGGAAGTGCATCAGACTGCGGAAATTACCGGGGAATTTCACTATTGGCTATCGGAGGAAAAATTCTTGCCAAAATTATGTCAAATCGCCTGCACCCACATATAGAAAAAATCCTTCCAGAATCGCAAACGGGTTTTAGCACCAACCGTCGATTCCATATTTGCCATCCGCCAACTACAGGAAAAAGTAAAAGAGCAGCAGTCTAAACTTTATGTTACATTCATCGATCTAAGAAAATCCTTCGTCTCTGTGAACAGAGATGTACTTTGGGCAATTATGAAAAAGTTCGGAGTACCCAACAAATTTCTTACAGTGTGTAAAAGGCTCCACAACAACAACCAGTCAAGAGTGTCACATCATGGATCACTCGGCGATCCCTTCCTGACAAATACAGGAGTTAGGCAGGGATGTGTCTTAGCGCCTCTCCTATTCAACATATTCATGGCAGCGCTCTCCATTATAGTGGACAGCAAACTGCAGAAGAGAGGAGTGGGCATTAGATACAGATATGACGGCGGTCTGTTCAACATAAAAAGGCTCAGGGCAAAAACACGTACAAAATTCATCACAGAACTTCAATACGCTGATGACTGCGCTCTATAGTTGCAAACATGTTACAACAATTACAAGAAATGTTGAACCTGGGCATACGAGGCTTTGGACCTTAAGCTAAACATCGACAAAACCAAAATCATATGCACTGACCCGGAAGATCATAACAATGCTATAAAAATCTGCGAAGAACTATTGGAATATGTAGCGGAATTTAATTACCTCGGCAATTTGATTTCGGAAAAGGCCAATATCGACTCTGAAATTCAGCACAGGATTAGCAGCGCCTCAAGAGCATTCTGGAAATAAAAAAACAGGGTTTTCTATAATCATGACTTGAGTACAAAAATGAAACTTGCAGTGTACCGAGCAATTATAATCCCCACCATGATATATGGGAGCGAAACCTGGGTGCCGTACCGCCGACACATGAACGCATTAAACAAGTTGCAACAGAGACACCTTGGACAACTCTTAAGAATCCGGTGGTTCCATCATGTCTCAAACGTATCGGTCCTTGAAAAAGCTAACTGCGAGAGTATTGAAGTCATCGTTACAAAATCCTGCTTAGGATGGGCTGGTCACGTATGCAGAATGCAAGGAAACCGCATACCAAAATCTCTGCTTTACGGTGAGCTTGTAGACGGTAAGAGCAGGCCGGGTGGACAACTCAAAAGGTACAAAGACATTTTCCACGAAAACTTAAAGGGGATTAACATGCAGAATGAGTGGGAAGAAGCAGTTCACAATAGAACTCAATGGAGAAGAATTTTAAACTCAGTTAACAGCCACAACTAAAAAGTAAAGAGGCAACAAAGCAAAGATATTTTTGAATGTCCGGAGTGCGGTAGGCAAATAACATCACGTACCGGGTTTTTCAGTCACAGAAAAGCTCATGAAAGAAAACGCTTTGCGTGACCATCTTTTGATGCGTGACGAATACTCGTCAGCGAGTAATGGCAGTATGTATGTATGTTTGTAATTTCGATGTATTATTTCGTATTTCAAAAAACCCTAAATACATAAATCGAGAGCGGACAACAATGCTATATTATCGTATAGTCCCAATTCATTGAGTTGGGAAATAGTCATTTAACAAAATTCGAATATTTTCAAAGTTGTGTGGGGAAGCCCCATCTTGCTGAAAGTATATTTCAGGTAAATTATTTAAAGGAACATCTAACAGTTCTGGTATGATAGCTTCCAAAATTTACAAATAGTGGTAGAGATTTAAATTTCCTTGATATATAAAGAATTTATTAGTGTCTCCCAAAATAAAACAAAAGACAGGTAAGATATAGCAGTATACTTTTAATTATAATTCTTTAGCTTCTTTTGTTATCATTCATGGCCTACTAATAAAAATTATCTATTAATGAAAAATTTTAAATATTACAGTAAATAGTGAAAATAAATTTTGAGTGTTATATATTTTTGAGAACCTCATAGCAAGACCGGTGATATGATTTATAAATATACAGGAGATTCCATTTGAAAAAACATTACTTTAGTTTATATTTTCAAAAATATTTTTTTCGTAGAAAGACAGACTACGCACTGTATTCTACATAAAAAGTTCTATAAGAATCAGTTTTCACCTTCTCGATACCTTTCACAATAACGACGATACGGGGGGTGTACCAAATTGCAAAATTTTCAAAACGACCATGTAGCTCAGAAACGAAGAAGGCTACTAAAATTTTGTTTACAGCATCTTCTGTTTGACAAAAAAGTTGGACAGGTTTGTGCAAACCCCACCCAAGAACAGTTAACCTAATAGGACTGCTCATTCAGCCAAAAATGTCTGCCAGGTACATGCGAAAACTCCTCGCTTTGTGACGTCATTGTAGTCCTTGTCATGGTTATTAGTCCTTATCCGGCAACCAATAATGCACGTGTGTGTATTATTGGTTGCCGGATGCAAAATGTTCATTATTTAGTTTATTTATTTAAACACCTTATATGTATGCAGTATAGAAAATTAACTGTATAAATCGTATTAAATACTTGGATAATGCATTTTTAAGAACAGCAGTTCCCAACATCACCTTTTGCAGGCATTCTTTTTAGTGTACTTCCATATTTTGCTTTAAAATAATTAATAAACAATATCGTAGGCACTTAGTAAGCACTTTGTCACAATTCACAACACAAAATGAACGTATTTTTACACTCTATAGCTCTAAAAACTTTAAAAACACCTTTTTCACATTTAAAATTGACAAAATAATTAACTCAAAATTTCTCAGCTGCTATTTTTATGAGTCTTCTATGTACGTCTTATGAGGATGAGCAATCCTATTAGTTTACCGTTCTTGAACCACACTCTCCTATCTTCACTGATAACGGAGATACCGTATGATTTCAACCAAAATGAGACACCCTGTACAGGCTGCTATCTAAAATCTAAAATACTTAGCTTATTCACCTAAAAAAACCTAACAGTAAATATCATATTCTGTAGGTAAATAATCATAAAATGGCGATCTGGTGCAACAATTTGCTTGTTGACCAGCATATCGTACCTGATACAGCACACCTATTACTGTAAGTCCGAAAGGATGCTTCAAGGCTTCTGTATAATTAACGTATTTTGTTGCAAAAAATACAAAATGGCTTTCCAAACTGTATCTAAAAAATACAAAGAATTAAGAAAAGTCTCTTTGAATTAAAAAAGGATTCTTATATTTCAGATAAAGCAATCTCAACTCTATAATAAATAATTACATTATATAAAGTGAAAGTAGCCAAGATATACAGGGTGGTGCCTCTCATACGACGCGAAGGCTCCAAGGAGAACAACAGTTTATATGAAATTAAATTTTATGAGCATATGTAGGTTAGTTTAGAGCATCTTTTAAATTATAGTGAGTTCTACAGGGTGTCCCAAAAAAAGTGACACATCAAAGTTGTGTGTTTTCTAATGGAACACCCTATATTAATTGATTTTCGGATTTTAGAAGAAAATTAAAGACGAGTTTCCTTAGAATATAATATATAAATATGGCTAAAATGTAAGGTTTTTGACATATTTAACATTTTCTAAAAATGAAGAACAAATTTTAAATTTCAATAAAAGCTACCTAAATTGAATTTACCTGGTATAGCCTAATATGTAGTTCAAATTAAAATAACTATTGTACTCTAAATGAAATTAAAATTTGTCGCAAAAAGTTATACGGGGTGAGACAAAATTAATATTGAACATCGGCCACATTTAAAAGCAAGCTATACTCTTTTATTTTAAATGAAAATTTATCCGATATTCAATGGGGAATTTATGTCTCTTCAAAATACTCTTAAGGTTGCCTACCTCTCAAACAAATATTTTCCTAGATATTTTCATTTGTATGATTTAGTGACAGTAGATCTTTATTATTTGGTAAAATCTAGGTAGATGTGATATGTCCGACGTTACTTCAACATAGATTCCAAATTAGTTGAACTTCACAACTAACTAGTTATCAATTTGTGTCAGTTGAAACAAAAAGAATTATCAGAATGGTCCCTCTAGTATTTACTACATTTTTTGTCTCTTGTAAAAAAACGCTACCGTTCGTACTTTTTGAGAAAAAAAAAATTTTCCATAGCTGACTTCCAAAAAATGTTTTTGTCATATCAAGCTATGGAGGTGCTTAAAATCTATTATGCTCCCAAAATCTAGTTGGCGAAAATATGGAAGTTTATGTTAGTATCACATACTACATATACTTGACAATAAGCTTCAGAAAAAGCTTAAAAAATTAATAATTTTTGGATTAATTAACGTTCGGTTTATTTTTGATTGATGCCCTCTGATGGACAAACGAAGCACTTTTGTATTTATAAAGGTAAATTATGCGCAATGAACTTATTTTGTTGTTATCCGCTAACTTATTACAAAATAAATCCCTAATACCTACTGAATTCCTTCAATAGTATGTTCGGAAGGCCAATGATAATGAAAACTGCTCAATGTATAATTTTCTGTTAATTTACCTCCTGACAATTTTGGTATTTCACTATAACAGTCTTCGGGAATTTCTACCACCACTAAAATAATTAAATAAAGTAATTTTTTAAGTGTTAAATGTTTTCAGTGGCATTTTACTCGTAAAATACATTTACTTAATCAACTAAAAATACTTAGCGTTTCAGGAAGTATAGTTACCCCCGTCGTCAGAAGCATAAAACAAAAAAACCATTATTAAAATGCCCACAACACAAAAAAAAAGTCTCGCAACACAATTCTTCCACTATACAAAGTTGCGAGATCTCATGTGAAACCAAGTCAGTTTATTTTATTTGGTTTCTCTTTAAGAACCTATTCAACAATTTTGTTATTAATTGTTAGTATCAATATTAGACATCTATCGGGTGGTGCATCGTCGTTGGAAACATAGGAAATCCCATGGAAATTTTGAACTGTTCAAATATTGGCTCCTCTATTGATTTTACAGCAAAGTCGTAGATAATTTTTTAATGATTTATGTATGGTAAATACACCCGCCAAATTTGAACAATTTTGGACCAGTCGATTTTGAGTAATTTAAAAAAGATTGCATCTATTTTTAAATTAATACTAACAGGTAATAATAATTAGTTTAATAACATAGGTTTATAGTTAATAACAAGGTTAATAATAACAGGTAACAAACAAACAAACAAAACAAACAACGCTTTATTGTACAAAAAGCCAAAACGGCTTCATCGACAAAGCACTCATAAAACAAACAAAAGCACAAAAAAATATACAAACAACAAAAATACACAATACAAATAATACAATTCAAAAAAATTTAAGTCATTAAAATAGCAAAAAGAATACACATGGACAATTGCAGAACAGTACGCAGTAAATAGATATAATTTTAGAGTTATAAAATATTAAATACTTGACCTTTGACCAGTGTGTGAGATGATCAAAATTTTAAAATTCAAAATTGTTCATAATTAAACATTAACAAAAAAGTCGTTTACCGTATATAGAGCTCTCTTCAGTAAGTATGATTTTAGGGCTTTGCGAAATGCGGGAAAGAATGAAAGCGACTTGATATTCAAAGGCAAATGATTGTACATTTTTTTGTCATTGTACAGTATTGAACCTTTAACTAGTTCTGAGCTCGGGGTTGGCAGATAAAGATCGTGCTCCGCATTCCTAAGTGGATAGTTATCAAATGGCCTTTCGGGAATAGCAGATAGAACTGCTCTCCAGCAAGTACCCCAGAATGGAAGGGCATAATGAAGATGTGACTCAAAAAGGGCATAATAGGCTATTCTCGAGGTTGAGAAGTTAAGTTCCTTAGAAACTGATCTTAGCGCAAAACAGGCAGCGCTTAGTTTGTTTGATAGAGCTTCGATGTGAAAGTCCCATTTTAACGAGCTGTCTACAGGTCTGTTTCCAGAAGAATCCCTGACTAGTCAGCACGTTTCTCATTGGTTAAGATGCCTAGAAACCTGATTGTTAGTCTGGTTTCTACACATTTCAACCAATAAGAAACGCGCTGACTAGTCAGGGATTCTTCTGGGAACAGGGCCTACAAGTCCTAAGAATTTCACAGAGTCCAAGACGTCAGTAGTAGTGTTATTAAGTACAAAAGGTTGTATAGTACTTTTATATGACAAAACTTTAGTTTTTGATAGGTTGAGGCATAGTAGATTAGAATCGCACCAAGATTTAATGGTGCGTAAGTCACTGGATATATTATCATATAGTGCCGTAACACCTGGGCCGCTCCAAGTGAAACTAGTATCGTCCGCAAAGAGGCAGATTTTACCGCTAATGTCTAGATTTACAATGTCGTTGATAAACACCAGAAACAAAATAGGGTCAAGTACTGAACCCTGAGGGACACCACATTCTATAGGCTTACAAGAAGACATAGACGTATCAATCCTCACAAGCTGCCTTCTGTTGCCAAGATATGATTTAAGCCATTCGAGCGGCACTCCCCTGAAACCATAGTATTGCAATTAAGATATTATGATTTACACAATCGAAAGCCTTAGAGAAATCACAGAAAATTGTAGTTGTAGAGTGATGGTTATTCAGGCTAGAGTATACATTATTAAAAAGGTCGAACATCATTTGTGCAACTGTTACTTAGAAATCCAAACTGATGGGTAGTAAGTATTTTATATTTAAGAAGAAAAGATAGAAACCTTTTTTTAACCAATCTTTCAATGATCTTAGATAATGTGGGCAGGAGTGCAATTGGGCGATAGTTCGAAGCTTCTTCTATCTCCTCCTTTATACAGAGGAATAATTATTGCTGTTTTAAGGCAGTTTGGAAAAACTCCTTTGTGGAATGACTCATTAATTAAAGTAGTAATATGGTTTAATGTGCATTCAGAAAGTTCAGAGAACATTTTGAGAGTAAGCCCATCAGTCCCAGATGAGGATTTGTTTTTAATGCTATTAATTGTACTACGGAGCTCATCTAATGCTACGGGCGTGAAGAAGAAACTGTGTAAATTCTCATTTGCTTTAGGGAGATTTGAAAGTGAATCATGGGAAGGAGTTATGGTGTTCACTAAATTTTTAGCCACATTAACAAAGTAAGTGTTTAAATCTTCAGGTGAATTAAAGACTGTGCCAGACGAAGAAGTCTTACTCCTTAAGTCATTTACAATAGCCCAAGTCTCCTTAGCGACATTACCGGCTTTGGCTAGCCTCGCATTATAATAAATGTCCTTGGCAGCTTTTATAGTCTTACGATAAACCTTTCTATAAAGTTTCACGTAATTATGAAAGAAGACGATGTCCGTGAATTTCTTAAGGTGAGATAATGAGCGCATGTTCTTTGCAGATATACGCAAGCCTGTAGTAGACCAGGGTATACCTTGTTTAATTTTGATAGACCTAAGAGGAAACGCCTTGTACGCCAGATTAGACAAGGTATCCATAAATCTAGAAAATTCGGAATCGACGTCAGCCGAGAGGACAACCCACTCAGTTGTTAGACATAGGTGGTGAAAATTTAGAAAATTTTCATCCGAAAAAATACGACCCAATTTGCGCGAGGTATTTTTGCATTTGGATTTTGGCAAAAACTTTGTCAATACTGCCTCGTGATCAGAGAAACCTGAGTGAAGGACTCTACAGTCAACGAATTCCGGGTCAAAAAACGACACGACATAGTCTATAGTACTAGAGCTAGTTTTAGTTATTCTAGTTGGTGAGTCAACATGCATGAGTATACCAAAAGAATGAAAAATGTAATGGAGAGACTCCTTAGCTGCACACACACTGGAAAAATCAATATTTAGGTCGCCAAACAAAATTAATTTACTTTTAATAGGTAGGGATTCAAGCAGGCTTAGCAATTTTTGACTGAAAATATGTACGTCAGGGTCAGGTGTTCTGTAAATACAAATAATATAGAGGTCAAAAGCATTATGATAACTGACGGAAAATTCAAAAAAATTTTCGGATATTAGAGTATCGAACTTAGTTACTGCCGAAAAGTCATTGTTAGTAGACATTATCATAGTACCTCCATGAGATGAGTTACTTCTATTGAATCTATTTAATGTAGTGTATTTTTTGACAAATACAGGCTCATCCATATTTAACCAATGTTCAGTTATGGCAACAATTTCTGGAAAATTGAGCTCTTCTAATAAAAGATCTAAAAAAACACTAAGCTTGCTATCGTCTAGTTTTTCAGAGGGTGCTTGATCCTCTGTTCGCGTCATTTCACCTAAAAATTTGTAGTTTTACTTGGGGAGCCATGGGAGAAATACTTGGTATGACTTTCCCTAATTCTCTGAAGCTGTTGAAGTTTTTCCGCTGAAAAGAAGGACCTGAAGGCAGAAAGATCCGCATCCACTTCAGCTGAGTCAATACCATAGACGTTGTGGAAGCGATAATATAGCCTTCGCGGTAATCTGCCCCCGCGGATTTTTTGACTGGCACCCAGGGGATTGATTTGGTATCGAATCAAAATAATTCACCTGAATTTTTAGCTCTTTAACTGAAACGGTTTTCGAGATTTTCAAAAAACCTGTTTTTTCAATTTTATTTTTATTTTTATAGTAAAATTAATTAATTATTTTTTTTTTCTAATTCTTAGATGTCTAAGGCATGAAAAAATGATATGATCATGATTGTTAAACGAAAAGCCAATTTTTAGCGGAGGAAAGAAAATTAAAATCTTCATTTTTTCCCCTTTGTGAAATACGTCACTCACTAAAAATCGCCAGAAAATGTCTTTTATAGTCTTTAACACTCGGGAATTTTTTAGAATTTTTTGAAGTGATGGAACATATGAAGAAAATTAAAAACTCATTTTTGTCTAAAATCTTCTGTTTTAACTAACTTATATTTCTTTTAGTTTAAAAAAGTGCGTAGAAAATATTTTTTTTACTTCAAATTCACAATTATATTGCTTATTACACATTTTCAATCATATTACTACGCAATGATTACGTAAAGGCTGAGTTTTTGAAAAATTCGCGTCAAGCTGAATAAATAATAATATATCTTCATTTTTTTATAATAATCTTAATGTTCATTGCTTGCTTCATCTACGTTACCGTAGACGGAGCTGAAGGCTTGGTAGGGTTTATATAAATAAACAAAATACAAGAAGCAAAAAATTATTAAGGCCTAAAACCCTACATATATGCTTATTCTCTGCATTAAGTAGATGGCGAGAGCGGCTAGCACTCGCCATAGTAGTACGTTTTGTACTCAATTGCTATTCTCTGCTTTTCGTTTGTCAGATTGAGGGTTACAGCGAAGTCGGCCTAACGATGGAGATAAACCTCCGAAACCGGTCGTCGAATAGCTGTTCCCTTCAGTCTGATGAACTTAATGCAGAGAATAAGCAGATATGTAGGGTTTTAGGCCTTAATAATTTTTTGCTTCTTGTATTTTGTTTATTTATATAAACCCTTCCAAGCCTTCAGCTCCATCTACGGTAACGTAGATGAAGCAAGCATGTTTGTCCAGTAGGCCGCTGGTTTTATTTTTGGCGGTACGATCTGTAATTGTTACAGCTGCCGCTAGATGGCGAGAGCGGCTAGCACTTGCCATAGAAGTACGTTTT